CTAAGAGATGCTGTGATGTATGTGAAGACCCTGCCTTTCCCAAAGAATGTATAAAATTGCTGCAAACCCTGGGCTTGGAGCCTCTTAGCATCACCAGTTGCTGTGTGCACGCAGAGGACCCAGCTAGCTTGCAATAAAACCTCTTTGCTGCTTACATTGATCTTGGTCTCTGGTGGTCTTTTGGGGGTCCTGAATTCGAGCATAACAAGTCAAAGTTTTCTTTTTTCTTTTTTCCCTGTTTTTTCCAAGACAAACTAATAAGCTATTCTATGGTTTGAATGTTTGTTTCTTCAAAATTCATGTGTTGGAAATTAATGACTAATGTGACAGTTTTAGAAGGAGGAGCCTTTGGGAGGTGATGAAATCTAAGGACATGTCTCTTGTGAATGGTATTAATGAATTCATTAAAGATATCCAAGAGAACTACCTTTCCCCTTTCACCCTGTGAGGACATTGTAAAAAGTTCCATGTATGAACCAGAAAAATGAGACCTCAGTTGTCACCAAATCTGTCAGCACCCTAACCTTGAATTATCCAGCCTCTAGAACTATGTAAAATAAATTTCTATTGTTTATAGCTTCCTATGCTATGATATTTTTAAAAGTAGCTTGAATGGTCAAAAACAAACTGGTATTGTTTGAGGTGGTGAATCTTAACAATATACATGTTACTCTTAAAATAGGAAGATCAATTTTTTTAAATATATGTGTGAGATTAAATATATTAAATAACTTGAAGTAGCACAATAATTTGGAATCTATAGTTTAATACAATTGTTTATTTTTAAAGAAGATGCAACAGTAGCTCACTTTTTGCTTTGAATATAGATAGCCTTGCTGTTTTGCTACTGTGACTTATTTTTAAAATCAACTTGTTTCTTTCTTTTTCTCTCTCAATGCTTCTCCTTAATCTCTCTCCCTCCCTAATCTCAGGGGAAACAGGATCATCATTCTTCAGAATTCTAGGTGGAGTTATCTATTCTTGAGTACACACCCACCACAGCGATGAAGTAATTCAGACTTTGGGGATAGCACCAAAATGTCTCAGAAATGAATTCAGACTTTGGGGATAGCACCAAAATGTCTCAGAAATGACTATCTCCAAAATAAACAAATCAATTACAACTCTGGACAGTACATCAAATGGAATGTGGCTGCTGAATCACTTCTTTAAAAGTCTCCTATTCCCCTTGATAGGGAGAATCATAGTCTCTGGGAGAGCAGTCCCCTGTGCTTCTCCTTTGCTAGCAAAGCCATAAATCTTTTTTCTTTTTTACAAAACTTTTGTCCTCCTTATTGGATTGGCAGTGGGGACAAGGACTGAGCTTCGGTAACAAATTTGGCAGCCAAGGTAGGACCCTAGAGCAGCCCCTACTCCAGGTTTCTTGGGTAGGCTTGGCTCTCTAAGCAACACCACTTCCATGCTGAGGATGCAAGGTGGCTGATGAGCTTGTTAAGAGCCAACTGCTGGAGAACTAGAAGATAAATGAGTTTCCCTGAGCTTGAACTAGAGAAGCTATTCCTGTGAGTTAAGGGAGTTACTGAGGGACCATTCCAGCAGCTGCTGAGCTCCTTTTCCTTTAGGGCACTCCCGTCTTTTCTCCCTGAACTGTACAGGTTGCTCTAACTTGGTCCACTTTAAGAAAAATACAACTGAATTTAGTAAAATTGAAACACGCTTTGGCCATCTGGTAAGTCCCCTGGTAAGCAAAAGGAGATCCTTGGTTCCACACATCTGATCCCTCTTGTGGGGACATTTTTTGTCACTACTGGTGTAGGAGGCATGGTTAAGTGGGACTTAAGAACCTAGGGGTATTTATTCCTTTCTGGTCTGTTCTAGGTTCTCTCATCTGTTTGTTGTCCTTAGTTTTGGGAATTCACCCTGGTTGTCTGTGTTTTTGTTTTGTTTATATCTGTTACTGTCCCTTCTAAGACATTGGCAATACTGTGTTTATCCTTTAGATAGGCTCTTGGGAAAAAATCTTGGTTGGACTGTCTGTTTAAAAGTTCCCATCTGGGGCTGGGGTTGTGGCTCAGTGGTAAAGTGCTTGCCTAGCACATGCGAGGCCCTGAGTTTGATCCTCAGCACCACATATAAATAAATATAATAAAGGTATTGTGTCCAACTACAACTAAAAAATAAACATTTAAAAGAAGAAGAAGAAGGAGAAGAAGAAGAAGGAGGAGGAGGAGGAGGAGGAGGAGGAGCTCAGTACATTAAAAAAAAAAAAAGTTCCCATCTGTTGGCCATGGTTTTGGGGATTCTTCATGATTGTCTGTTTCTTTTTTGTACAATCTTGCAATTGGAGTTGATTTGTCAGAGGTAAAGTAAGGTGAAGAAAGGGCTACTATAGGTATAAGCTAATCTAAGGAAAATATAATGCTTCACTGTGATCTGGCCTTTAAATATCTTTCTGAATTATTATACAATACTGCAGTTGGAGTTGATCTGTCAAAAGTAAAGTAAGTAGAAAAAAATTTGTACGTACAGGTCTGTCTGGACGGTTCCCATCTGTCGGCCATGGTTTCAGTGATCCTCTCTTTTCTGTCTCTGTTTTTTTTGTATCTGTTACAGGCCCTTTAAGACAAAGTCCATACTATGTTGATCTTTCCAGTAGTTCCTTGAAAAAAGAGATCTTCGCTGAGTGGTCCAAGGAAAGGACAAAACTGAGAATATAAACAAGTTGTAGTATGTCTAAGTAAGTGGAAAGTTTGTGGAAAGCAAATCTCAAAAAGTTTGTGATTAAACTGGCTATAATTATCATGAAGTTACCCAAATCTTAATGTATTGATAGGAAATAAAAATTCTATAAATATAATGTATAATATAATATACAATATATAATATTTATAATATAATATATAAACATAATAGACAGAAATGTCTATAAATATAAGCTTGACTTAGAGACACATGTGGCCTTTAAATGGTTTTCTGGACTAGTATACAATTTTGCAATTGAAGTTGCTCTGTCAGGGGTAAAGTATGTGGAAGAGATTCTGTATGCATAGGCATTTATGAAGTTGCATGATAAGGCATCTGAACAGTAAGGAATTAAGTTGAAGGTGCCAAAAAGCAATGCCTCTGGCATGCAAGAATAGCAGGAGACCAGAAGAAATGGTATATATATATATATATATATATATATATATATATTTAAATCCTTTCAACCCAGTGCTGGCACTCCCAGCACTGTTTCTCAGCCTGGCCCCAGGCAGACACAGATCACATTGCTGTGGATCAGGGGCACTAGCCTTGGGCTGGGGGAAAAAAAGAAATCTCAGGAAATGGGGGTTATAGAAAAATAGGCAAAGAGAAGCTGGCCTCTGCCCTGCCTTTTAGCCCCTGTTGCCCAGGCAGGGGATAAAGGCTACTGGCCACAAAGGACTTGACAGTAGGTTCAGCACTGTTAGTTTATGACCTGGGAACAGGAATAGTCTCCCCTTTTAAGATCTTGTAGGACATTCTAGTTTTCCAGGAGATACCCATCACTGGGAAAGAGCAATTCTTCCTATAACAGTATCCCATCAAACAAAATTCATGGGGACACTGGAAGGGTAAATAACCACACCCAGAAAAAAAAAGAAAAAAAAAAAACAGAAGCTAAGGCCAACTCTTGTTTTGTTGACAGCCTCTGCAAAAGGGTCTTCAAGGAAGCTTAAAGAAAAGGGTAGAAAGGGCTCCCTCCACTCTATATCAATATGCCTAGTATAAGAAAAAAAGCCCAAAAGGAGACTCTGGGAGGGCAGACAACTGACAGGGGAGAATTCACTTAAAGTTGATGGTATCATAATAATGATAAGACACAGGTCAGACACAAAAAATATTTTGTGCTCTAAACCCTTGAATGCAACCTGGGAGAAAAAAGATTAAGGCACAGTTTTTGTACATACAAAATTTCCCAATCCCTCTCCTGGGATAAAAATTTTTGTGTAAAAGAATGCACAGATAATATTAATAAGGATCATTTCAGAATACAAATTTAAGAAAGGGTCTGAAACTAGAAAAGATAAAAGAAATTTATAGGTATATTTTAGTACAGAAAATTAGAAGGAAAAAGAAACGTTTTTAGATGATAAAGTATTTTGTAAAATAATATTCTTGGACTGGGGCTGTAGCTCAGTAGCAGAGCGCTTGCCTAGCATGTGTGAGGCACCGAGTTAGATGTTTAGCACCATATAAAAATAAATAAATAAAATAAAAGGCATTCTGTCCAACTACAACTACAAAAAAAATAATAGTTAAAAAAAATAAAAATAATATTCTTGCCTACAGTCCAAGATGAAAGAAAGGACAAAACTGAGAATATAAACAAGATGTAGAATGTCTAAGTAAGTGGAAAGATTGCGGAAAGTAAGTCTCAAAAAGTTTGTGATTAAATTGGCTATAATTAGCATGAAGTTATTCAAATCTTAATGTATTGATAGGAAACAAAGACAGAAACATTGATCTGCTTATCTACCAAGATAATTTTCTTGTATCTGTTAGGTTTTATTACTTAGGGAAACTAAGCATTAAATAAATTAGGATTTCTGGTTGTTTTAGTCTTTTAAATGAATATTTTATTACTGCTTAAAAAAACTGTTATTTTAGGTTAAACAATATAGTTGACACCCTAAATATTTGTGACTAGATATATGTATACATCTGAGAATTATATCTGTCTCAGCATTATCTAAGTATTATGTAAAGTTTATAAAATGAAAGTTTATCTAGGTTTATATATAGTATATAAGGCTGACTTTCAATACTGGCAAGGTAACCAGTAAGTGCTCTCTTTTATACATTGTATAGGACATAGAAGGGCCAAGCCACACTGCCATTTGAGGACCTATCTTATGTTTGTTTGCTTTGACTAAGTCTATCACTGATCATTGACACTGTTCCCTAAATGTATGAGATTTACAGTTTTCATTTGACTGTTGCTACTGTACTCTATGGATTCTAAATTTTACTTTAAAAATTAAACTTTTAAAATGTAAAACTTACGAGAGCAATTGCCAAGTTGGTGTTGTGCAAACTAAAATTGTTTGCAGCAAGAGTCTCCTTCAGTTTTATATAGAAATTTGGTTGGTATTTATTCATGTCATTTAATGTTTTATAACTGGATAAAAGTAATCCATTGTTGATAAGTGACATAAAATTTTGTGTTACACTTTGCACTGGGATGGGAATTTAAATGTTGTTTTGGAAGGTAATAAGGAGACCTTGATCTGTTTGTAGATAACATTGTAAAACATGGAAGCATTTTGCCACTTTTTCCACACACACAAAAAAGTTAAATCTCTGTTAGCCTTTGTTTGATTCATGTTTCAATGTAATGTTGTAATGTGTTATTTGTTAAGAGCCCCACCTTATCTGAGATAAGGCTCTGTCTCTCACCTTACTCCATGTTAGAATGGCTCCAAGACTAGACTTTAGATCATTTAAAATTGTGTTCAAAAGATCAGAATTTTGTTGTAAAGATTACTGTGGTCTCAAAACAAACAAGAGATATAACACATAACTAAGTAAAGTTTTGAGATTATTAAAATCATGTTTCTTTGTTCATAGCTATTACATAAACTGAATGTTTTTGCTTGGTTAATTTCATTTTGTGCTTTCCTTGTAAACTTTATCATTGTTGCTTATTAGTGCTTTGCAGAGGTACTGCTTCTAATAAAAATAACCTGAGTTAAATTGAGATACTAAGCCATCACCTACGTATAGAATATACAGTATATAAGGCTGACTTTCAATACTAATACTGACCTCAATTAAATGGAATTGCTAACTATAAAATTACAGACATGGAAGTTACCCATTACTCCCACTTCAAGACTGGTGAAACTGGCCTGCTGTGTATTTAAAACCAAAATCTTGGAAACCAAAGTCAAGGAAGTAAAAGGGTCAAGAAAATGCAGCCAACATTTTGGCCCTTGCCTCTAAGGTCATCCAGGACACAGAGCGTGACAGGACTCTGGGCCATGCAACTCCAATGAGTCATCTGATCTGTGGAATGGTGATCAACAGGGTGATCTAGACAATAGAAAGACAACCCACATGCATTCTTCAAAGAGGAGAGTGATTGCAGAAGGAAATGTCCCTGATGCTTCTGAAAGAAGCCATGTATGGTCAGCAAGACTCTGAACCATCCTGGCAGATGGCATCACTGATAGAAGAAAGCTAAAAGAGGCAAGGGGCTTCTCACTAGTTCCCACGAAAAATCTCAGCTGACTCTTAACATTAGATAGGGAATTGTGCTGCTATGAACATCGATGTAGCAGTGTCCCTGTAGCATGCATAGCAGCACAATTCACGATAGCAAGATTGTGGAACCAACCTAGATGCCCTTCAATAGATGAATGGATAAAAAAAATGTGGCATTTATACACAATGGAGTATTACTCTGCATTAAAAAATGACAAAATCATAGAATTTGGAGGGAAATGGATGGCATTAGAGCAGATTATGCTAAGTGAAGCTAGTCAATCTTTAAAAAACAAATACCAAATGCCCCCTTTGATATAAGGGGAGTAAACAAGGACAGGGTAGGGATGAAGAGCTTGAGAAGAAGATTTACATTAAACAGGGATCAGAGGTGGGAGGGAAAGGGAGTGAGAAGGGAAATCGCATGGAAATGGAAGGTGATCCTCAGGGTTATACAAATGATATATAAGAGGAAAGGAGGGGTAAGACAAGATAATACAAATGGAAGAAATGATTTACAGTAGAAGAGGTAGAGAGAGAAAAGGAAAGGAGAGGGGAGGGGAGGGGGGATAGTAGAGAATAGGACTGACAGCAGAATACATCAGACACTAGAAAGGCAATATGTCAATCAATGGAAGGGTAACTGATGTGATACAGCAATCTGTATACGGGGTAAAGTTGGGAGTTCATAACCTGCTTGAATCAAACTGTGAAATATGATGTATTAAGAATTGTGTAATGTTTTGAATGACCAACAATAAAAAAAAAAAGAAAACATTAGATAGGGACAACAAGGTCAGTTTTGACCAACTTGGTCTTAAATACCTGGCAGGTCTTAAATCCTACTTGGACATTTAAAAGGGAAAACAACGTTTTGTTTTTTAAAATGTAACTCAAGGTGTATACTTGTATCAGCTCTACCAAAAGTAAGTAAAGTTGAAAACTACAAAGAAAGGATTCTCCTATGGGAATGCCTAATAAGGATCACAAAGAACTCTAGTTACAAATTTGTCCTGAGTCAGTTTGAGCCTGAACTCATACACCTACAAATCTCCCTAGCCTCCCACGTAATCTTCGGTTTTTCACTGATTTGATTATGAGTTACCATTTTCATAGAATGGCTGGAACAGTTATTGCTTTTGTGCTAATTGTTTATTGTTGACTTAGCATGATCCCTGCCCTGCATATGCCTTGTCCAGTCACCCACCATCTGCCACTGTGGACCTGTGGATTGCCCCGATGCCTTTAATTGTTCACAAGGACTTTGGGTTACTTCCCTCACTTTATCCTCTTTCAGAAGAAAACAACTTGAAGATGTTATCGACTATTTTTTCATACAAATGTAATCTAGAACTTTTGTGAGTAGGTGTGTGTGTGTGTGTGTGTGTGTGTGTGTGTGTGTATGTGTGTGTGTGTGTGGTGCTGGGGATTGAATCCATGGCCTGTGCATGCAAGACAAGCACTTTACCAACTGAGC